TTCGCTGGATTTTTTTTTTCACGGAATCATCCCTTCAGCGAAAATAAAGTATTCTACAGTATACTGTAAACATGTATGTACATCTGGGGAGTCATCTTTATGTCGGTGAACAAAAGTCTGCCTACTGACTAGTGTCAAGTGCAGTACTACATTATATGTCTAATATCGTGTTTTGGTGCTGTCCAGTGAGGGTCAACAAGCTACATTGTATATGTATTGGAAAATGTCAAGGACAAAATTAAGGAAGTGGAATAAAATTAGTTTATATCTGTAATAGTGTTTGCTTCAAATGACATCATAAGGTATTACATAATAAAATTAATTACGCATGAAGGCATCTGAGACAAATTTGGGCTTTAGAAAAACAATAAGACTACCTTTGGATTAATTACAAATCATAGAAAAGTCACATTCAAATAACGCAGTTGGCGTTGAAAATGTTGTTAGCGCTTACGCATATTGTCCACGTTATGATCTGTTTCACACGCTGTTCTGCATTCTATCATTACGTAATTTTTTTATTTTTAGTAAGATCTCGTAATCTCGTATTGTGCATATGCACAACCATAACCTGTGAATAGCAACCACACTGTAACCCAGACTGCCCTGTGTGATGAACCGTTCCATTCAGCGTTTGGTTATGTTTGTTTTTCAGTGTACATATACGTAGTTAGCTGTGAGTCGTAATAAAATGTTGAGAAATAGTGAATTCATTGTTTGTTTCTCTATCACAGCCGAATGCCAGATTGTGTGAAAAATTGTGGTTGGCAAATGTACTTGTTCAGAAGGCAGAATTTGTTGTTAACTGATTTGTGGTACATGTGTACTGTGTTGGTTCAATTTATTAAATTAGTGTTAGTTACATGAAATTATTTTGATATTCTCTTCAGAAAACTATAATATTATTTTCACTGAATCATTCTTTCAGCGTAAGTAGCGAAAATAAAGTATATTCGACAGTATTGTGTTTTAATTTAAAATCATGCTGTTAAGGCGAAAATAAGAACTACCCTCCCCACTTCTGCATAACGTTTTAGACCTAGCGAGTCACCATACAAAAGTACACTGCTGCTTGGCTCGTCTAGCACATGATTTGAAGGCAAGAAATATCTCTTTGACCCCATGTAAGTGCTCAGCATACTTCGATTTGATTGACGATTGCGGAATTGTTTCAATTTCCTAAATTCATTCCCAGGGGTGACTTGTTGTGCTGTTTGAATAGTTGGTGTAATTGGTACATCAATGTTGCATCTTTCATTGGCTTCCTGGTAGCTATTACTTGCACATGTCTTAATCCGTTGCTTTGGTATCTCAAATTGATTGATCAACTGGATCTTTAAGGATGTATTTTACATGTACTAACTAGTAAAAATGCTGGCAATTTTAAAAGCATTACCGTTTTGCTCAGTGAAACCTTGAATCAAATAAATTACAAAAAGAAATAGAGCACCCCAATGTGATTAAAATAAACTCTTTTGTTCTGGCCGGCTATTGAGTACAATTTTTGTCATTTTGTGTTACCTTGACAATGCGTTAATTATGTAAGATGTCGCACTGTAAAAATTCACCTATTGCCTTAGATGCCTCAGTGAAGTAAATCACCCTTGATGTAGTCAAACTTTCAGTATTCAAATTTTGATATTGTCCAATCCATACTATCAACTATTTGAAATTTACCTCTACCCTGAGAGGTTTGACATGGTTTTAGTATGACAAGCTACACTGTTCATAGCAAGTTGAGTCGAAACTTACAAGATATTAATTGAAAAAAACTGTCAACAAATAAGCAGCTTTCTGATTGGTTTAGGGTGATAATGTTGTGTAGCCAATCAGTTACAATCTTGTATATCACTGTGACTTGATTCTCCATAGCTGGCTTTTCAACTGTATTAAATTAAAGCTTTAAATTACTTTTAACCTTTAAGTAGACAGCCATAATAGTTCAATCTCACTATACAGTGTGAAGCGCCATTCCATTCATTGCACAGGTGACCTACTTATTGGTTTATTGCCAATACATTCCTGTACGCATTCCTTCTTGATTTATAGCTTCTTTGATTTTGAAAAAGTAGCTGTACTCAACAGTAAACTGAAGTACAATGCT